TTTTTTTTTTTTTTTTTTTTTTTTTTATAATTGTAAGAGTACATATTTGGTACTATATATTTTTTTTTTACATTTAACTTCAAAACGATGTACTTATAAATTATACCAAAATAAGTAGCATAATTTGAAAGGCAACTACGATTTGTGCATTATTCGCATTACAATTGCGAAATGGTTCTTTTGAAAAATTTTATGAGGTCCTGTGTACTAGACAGGTCTATCGCGCGTTTAGGTGGGTACGCGGTTACATATTTTATTGCAGCGTTTAGAATTTATTTATTATTTTTATCTTTTTGGGGGGCAGTTAATTAAAACTCATGGTTAATACAAAACAGACCTGTCTATGCAAGCACTCAAGTGCAATGAACAACATAGATAACCCCGGTACATAAAAAAAAGGGCCACGAGGCTTAAATAAGAACAAGGTAAAATTATCAAATCATGCAACAGAAGGCAAAAAATGAAAGTAATAAAATGTTAGAACCAAATTATAAGTAATGAACGAGAAAATCCATTTATGTAAACATTTACAGCTGGGGGTACCCCTTCGTCAACGCACCACATGGATAACATGCAGTGCCACAAATGATGCGCGCGCGCCGATACATACGGACTAAAAATGGTGTGTTATGCGCTTCTTATAGCAAAATCACATTTCCAATGAACACGAAACATTAAACGGTGTGAGGATACCACGAACACAGGGGTAAAACAATAGCGACGTAAGAGCGAGACAACTCGGGCGGGTAACACATTTTAATTGCATTGCACTAAGTTAATGACGTGCTAATGCCCCAGAATGCCGCTGCATATGCAACACGATGTAACGCATTGCACACATGTAGGAATCCCCCCTCAGGAAACAAAAATTGTTTAATCACATTTAATAAGGTCGCATGCTCTCCGCAAGCGCGCCATACCCTCTCTCAATCCTGGTTCCCCCAATAGAGTGTCACTTAAAAATATCTCTCAACTCGTTTAGATATTCCAGAATAGAATTTTTATACATCAGCTCTACCTTCAATCCGTTGTACAATTTGTGCAATCTATCAATACAATGTAAGGTCAGAATTATGTCCACATTATCGCTTAGCGATTTGGGTTTTCTGTGGAAATATCTAGACACATTAAGCATTATTATTCCCCACAACCCCCTTAAATTATTACTCTGCAATTTAATGGCTAGACAGAAATACTTGCTGCTTAATTCGAACTGGTTAATGGTGTAGTGCAATTCTGCGCAGGTTAATATGTAGTACAAATTGGTGGGTAGGTGTAGCAAAATTTCTTCAAAACAAAACAAAGCATAAGTATACAAACAGTTTGTTAAATATATTTCTGCCAATTCATGCCACGCTTCTTTGTCCACTGGGAACTCCTTTAAGTGTTCATTTAATAAGTGTATAACTTGATTTATATCATTGTGTATTGTTTTTTTTAAACTCACAATTCTTGCTCTTATTAATATATCGGAAGAGTCCTTACACAAATAATTCTTATAAATATCTAAAGCCTCTCTGTTTTTATTTTTTGATTCATATACCATTCCTTTCAGTACATTCAATTTTTTCCCATCCAAATTTCCAAATTTTTCATTCAGCTTATTAAAACACATATCCACATATTCAGTTAAATTTAATTCAATGGAGGATTTTAAAATGTGCTCGTAAAGACTCCATTTGAAAAATGAATTCTTCCTTATATTTTTTTTTAGTAATTTCATGCCATAGTAAATTATTAATTCTTGTATGTCCTTTTCCAAGGCATTCTGATAGTGCTTTTCCAAAATACTGTAGTCGTTTTCTGTATAAAATAAAATTCTACCTTCCTCCATTTTGCATTACACACATGAAGAGGGGGGGGATAAAGTATGATAAAAAAAAAAAAAGAAAAGAAAAGAAAAGGAACAGTTGTGGGAATATTCACAGCGACGGACAAATGTTATTCGTGCCTTTTGATAAGATGGCGCTACAACCCGTAAAAACTGCCCTAAATCTGTCTTGCTTCTCTACTTTAATTTTCCCCAAATGTATACATGCATACGTGTATCCCCTTTTTAGGCCTAGAAGGACCTTCCTTTACTCGTTATTCTCTTCGTGTTGTCCTTAGCATGATAGTGACAATAAACTTTGCCGGAAATTCACCTTCCTTTTTTTTTTTTTTTTTTCCAGGCTGGCTACTTTATATTTTACAGTGGTGAGCATATAATTTGTTTGCTACACTTTCACGTTTTGGGGACCCCCCCTTTATATGTAAAACTGTTGCCAGTGGTCTGCTTCCTTCCCAAAGAAGATCGACAAACAATTTAGCTGCGCAATTTTTTGTTGTTTTCTTCCTTATTCGATTGTTCATTTATTCCATCATTGCATTACTGCAT